GTTCCAGATCCAATCCCTCATAAACTATTAACCTCTGTAGCAAATCACTTGCCTCATTCCGTACGTGGGTCATACTTGTTGTTGGTTCCTGCTAATTGTTAGTTCCAACGCTCATCTGCCCTCGCAGATATCAATATACCTGCGTGTTTCTTCATACAGCTGAGGGTCCAGCGACCCCTTCATACTCTCCTTGTCTCGGCTTACTGGTCCAGGGCGTGCTGGTCATGGGTCCTGGATTCTGGTTCCGAGGTCGGGTCACTAGTCGGTCATACCGCAGGAACGCGATGTCTCCCCTCGCCCTGGCCTCCCTTAACCTCGGCATCAACTCCCTTCTTCTCTTCCTCACAGACTCGGTGTAATCTTCATTTATATAAATATTGGATCCTTTAAGCTTCTTTGGTTGTTGCAGTATGTGTGCCTTATCTTTCTCTTTCATCAACTTTACCATCACCGGGATACAAAGTGACAACAAAGACTCACAACAGCTACAAAGAGACACAAGTCAACTGCAAAAAATGAGAGTCACAGAAATACTACAAAGACATATAAGAACTACAGTTACATGCACAATGACCACAAAGAGATGCATAAAATCATGTTAGGTCTCTTTCAGCCTGTGGTTCTTTCTCCATTGTAGGAGGGGTGAGGGCCTTTTACATGTCTGTGGCTAGGGCCCCAGTATCTCCTAATTTGTCCATGCTTTCTAAATAAATGTAATGTGTCTGCCCAAGCATATGCCACTCTTTTTAAGGATGACATAAGGGTGCAAAGGGAGGGAACATGGGGCAGGGAGGGAGGCATGACACAGCTGTGGAGCCAAATCGCTAAATTGGAGCTGGGCCAACATAGACAAAGACCTGAGTGTCCTTGAGCTCTTATTGTGGCCTTACTCTCTCTTTCTCTTTCTCCTGTACATACACAGACACCTACAATTTCATTGTGGAGTAGCACAGACCAGCACCTTTGTAACAGCTCTGAAATAAAAATACAATAAAATAAATATCCTCCTCACCAGCAGTGCAGAGAAGTGTGGTTTTGCTAAGGCTGAAAGAAAATCACCAAAAAGGTTAATACATACAGTACATCCTTCAGAGCAAACTCAATATAGAGAATAAATCAGTGTGACTACTGTAAAAATGCACCCATGTGGAGAAAAACCTGAGTTGCTTCTATTTCCTTGTTCTCGTCCCCTCTTTCTTTTTATCTTTGCTTGCTTGCATTCTTTCACCTCCTTACTTTGCCTTTCTTCTTATTTTTCCTTTTCTACATAGGTGAAGAAGCTTCCCAAACACTTGCGGGAGGCTCAAATCTCGACGGACCGAACCCACTTGATTTCTGACCCGGCAAAGAAGCCACGTCAAAGATATGTGCAGAAGGACGGAAAGTGCAACGTCCATCACGGAAACGTGCAAGAGACCTACCGTTACCTCAGTGACTTATTCACCACACTGGTGGACCTACGCTGGCGTCTTAGTTTCTTCATTTTCACCCTGGTCTATGTAGTCAACTGGCTTTTCTTTGGCTTTCTGTGGTGGCTGATAGCGCTCATCCGTGGGGATCTGGTGCATGCTGGCGAGGAGGGCTGGACCCCCTGTGTGCAGCACCTCAACAGTTTTGTCTCAGCCTTTCTTTTCTCTATTGAAACAGAGACCACCATTGGTTATGGTTATCGTGTAATCACAGAAAAGTGCCCTGAAGGTATTATACTGCTTTTGGTGCAGGCCATCTTAGGTTCCATTGTTAATGCCATGATGGTGGGCTGTATGTTTGTCAAGATCTCACAGCCAAAGAACCGCGCAGAGACCCTCATGTTCTCTCACAATGCTGTCATATCGGTGCGAGACAACAAGATGTGCCTGATGTTTCGGGTGGGGGACCTGAGGAACTCTCACATCGTGGAGGCATCAATCAGAGCCAAGCTGATCCGCTCGCAACAGACCAAGGAGGGGGAGTTCATCCCGTTCAACCAGACTGACATCAACATTGGATTTGACACGGGAGATGACCGGCTGTTTCTGGTGTCGCCACTTATCATCTCCCATGAGATCAATGAGAAAAGCCCCTTCTGGGAAATGTCACTGGCACAAATGGAGAAGGAGGAGTTTGAGATCGTGGTTATCCTTGAGGGCATGGTGGAGGCTACAGGTATGAAGGAGGGGAAGACGATCAAGGGAATGTAAGGATAGTTAGATGGACAGAGGGACACAGAGATTGATGAATTATTGTGAGCTCGGTGGGAGATAAGGGAGGATGGATAAGTAGATGGAAAGGCAGCAAAGTCTCACATGGAACGATGTGTTGCTTAAAAGAGAGGAGGGGCAGGAATGAGTCTCTGTAGGTACTGCAGACTGCAAAATATGGTGATGGATGGAAAGATAGAGACTAATATTAATAGATAATCACCTTTGTAAGTGAGACATAAATAATATTAATGTATTTTTGCTCAAACCTAGCACAGATTTTAATCAGGATTTTATCATTTTATGATTTCACAATAACTAACACATTTTTGTTGAGGAAGATGGCAAAAGGTTGTACCATTAATCCTGCAACTGCAATTATGTCTTCATCACACCACTATTTCTGTACATTTACAAGTATCTGTTACTTCACGTGAGGCAGATGATTGAAAACTAATTGTGTTGCAACCTTGCAAATTTTTATCTGTACTCCCTGGGGCATCCAAGTGTTTCCAATAACAGAGAATCAAATGACATATTTGAGATTTGGGAGAGGTAGTACTGCATAAAAATGTACTGTTAAATGAGATATAAAGCATCTGAAAATTAATGACTTAAAAAGTGTTTTACGGCTGTGGTCTTTGAGACCCAAAACAGAATTAATGTGTCATTTTCTGAAGAAAGTTTCAATTCAAAATCTTCTTTATAAGCAGTTTTCATTAAAAAAAAATGTGCAAATTAATGTACCGATGTGATTAAAATATTAAGTATGAAAAATTAAGTATATTTTTGACATGTGAAAGAGGCCCCGTGATCTCCAGGACCCCAAACAGAACATTAGGCCTAAATCTGACAAGAAAAAAAACTTGTTTGATAATTTTGTCATGTCATGCAGCCCACATTTTCACTGTTGCTACTTCAAGGTTATGCCTTTGATATTGTTTATATCAAAATGACGTGTCGCTACCCACACTACTAGTCCATGTTTTGGGTAAAGGCCAAGCAGTCCCCACAAAGCTCCTATTTCCAGCATGAGACTATATTCAAGGCTGCAGTGAAGCCTACAATGAGATTATAAAACTGGATTTTCAAATACACTCAATTTATAATATTATAAGATAGTGTTTTGTCATTTTGTAAAACCTTGTTGGCTACTGAGCATTAATCTCATTGGCATTCATAATTATAAAATCATGAATAAAGACACCTTTACAGGACAATGGGCTGTTAATTTGCTGTTCTAAACCGATTCCTGTGGGGTATTGGCTATTGTTTATGTGCCTAATGTACGGCCATTGTGCAAGTACTAATTATAATACACTTTTTTTGTTTCAATGGCAGTGACCATGGCATCAACCAGAGGTTATGTTGTCTCTGTCACTGACAGGCAGTGGACCAATCTGACCATCCATTAGCCCTTTTTCTTTTCCCTTGAGACTTAATAAACAGGTCACAGGGCATAAATCTCATGTCAGATCTGATGTAGACTATTTGAAAATTAATCATGTGAAACCTTATATTTACAGCCATGGTCTTTTGCATTTCTGGTTCCCTCGCCCTGAAGTCAGTTGGTTTTTAGAATGGGTTTTTGGTTAGAGGCCTGAAATAAGGCGCTATGGTTAACCCAAGGCCAATACATTTCCATGTTTTGTTCTATGACATAAAATATATTATTAAATACCCTACTCATGATTTTTAAGGCTTTTACATGTCTTAGAAAAGGAGGTTACTAACAAGTGGCTAAATGAGACAACAGGGGCTGTCTGGGACATTAAACATCATCACACCAAACACTGAGACTAATCTACTCAGTAACTTGCCATTACAGCCTTTTTATGTTTAAATCCACCCACGCACTTGCAAACTATTCTAACTGACGCAGATATGATCAATAGCTAGATCAGGCCACGCCAAGAGGAAAGGATTTTGTAGAACAGGAAAGTGAGCTAAATCAAATTACAACTTGGAAGTCAGGGGACTGTGGTGTCATTTGTTTATAGTCTAACAATATCTTTTCACTTCTGTCTGTAACTGTGATAAACTGTTGTTTGCCACAGATCTTATTTTCTGCAATAATCCAAAAATCTATGAAAAAAAATCCCATTTGCTTTTTGTCAAGGGAACCAGGGTGATGCTAACTTGGCTGGCCTACAAAAAATGTCTTCCCTATGCGCTCTGTAAGCTCCTAAGGTTGCAAATGTATAGCTGAATAAGCACGATCTTTTGCCAGTTAAAAAGTGACAAAACTGCTGTCAGTGTACTGTAAGGTGTCAGTTATTGCTGTGCCTACCAAAATCTTTTTCTTTCTTTTTTTGAGCCAGTGCAGGGGAGAGAATTTATTGCTTACACTTTTTGTCTAGAGTTTGAGAACACACATTTGTGGTCCCATATCAAACAACTAATTATTTCTTAAATTCACTCTAACTAGAGAAAAAAAAAGCATTAAAACCAGCATCTGATTATGCTCAACCCGGGGCCTTTCTGTGCGGAGTTTGCATGTTCTCCCTGCGCCTGCATGGGTTCTCTCTGAGTGCTCTGGCTTCCTCCCACAGTCCAAAGGTATGCAGCTTAGGCTGACTGGTGACTCTAAATTTCCCACAGGAGTGACTGTCAGGGAGTGTGGTTGTTTGTCTACATGTCAGCCCTGTGATAGCCTGTTGACCTGTCCATGGTGGACCCTGCCTCTTGCCCAGTGTCAGCTGGGATTGGCTCCAGCCCCCCCCATGAAACTATTCAGGAATAAATGGTATAGATAATGAATGGATGGATGGATCTGATTATGTCACTCAATTGGCCAGGCTTATATAGAATAAAATCTTAATATTTGTTAAAATGTTACAAATTTGATCCTGAACGGACTTGGGAAGTGACAGATAAGTGGATGGTAAGAGCTGAAGTACAAATACAAGAATTACAAATATATAGTTCTCACCAATGCATTTTGGCTCCATTTAAATTTTCTAAAGAAAAAATACATTTTAGCATCAGTAGCTATTCTATTCCTAACATTTCTAGGAATGAATAAAGTGGATACAAAATTAGCTATTTGAAAACTGAAAATTTCATCTGTGGGTGTCTAATGGGCAACCAAAGTTAGCTGTCTACAAATAGCTAAAGGGTCGTTAGAATCAAGATTTCTATGTATGGTGGATTTTTATATACTGCATTTTTATGCTTGTATATTTTTCATGTTTAGTCATTCCTGTAGAAAATGTTCAGTCATAAAACTAGCAACAGATCTGAACATTCTGTTACAGAAAAAATGATTATGCTGCAGTTTATTGTATCGTTTCTGGTGCTTGTTTTGCTGTACCAGAGGCCTCAGTCACGTCCATGTTGTGACAACAAGCCTTGTTTTTACCATCCAAATGCCCCAGAATAATGCTGCTTTGTCACCTTTTTTCTTGACAGTAAATTATTTATATATAAAATAAAGGCTGCTTTTGCCACTTCTCAGAATCCAGAAAGCATCGTCCATCAGTATTGTTGCAGTGTAGGGTGTTTGAAGTAGTATTTTTTTGTTTGATGTCTTTTTTTGTTCCAGGAAAAAAAGACATCTGCAGCAGGGCCCAAAAGTAAGTTTTAGAAATGCTTAGTAGGCTACTAGCAATTTGTCCTAAAAGAAAAGTGGGCACTACTGTGTTATATCTGAGCCAAGTTCTCTTATAAACATTAACATGGATATATAATAGTTCAACACCAACAGTGCTGGGAATCTACAGAAATGTCAGACAACAGTATAACTGCTAACAATCTCTTCTCATATTTTTGCTGTTTAATGTAATTTAAGGACACTGAAGCTGTACCATCTTCTTTCTGTTTGTTTCTGCCCTGTTTCTCCATTATTCTCAAAATGTTAGATGGGAAACTTTTGCTGCGATGTTCCCAAACAATCTAAAGATACACTCTGTCAATGTCTTGCAAAATCCAAGATGGCGGTAATGTGAAACTGCATATTCCTAAAACCCAGGTGTAACTAATGTAACCAACATTAATGATGGTCCATTTTCATTTGGCCATCCCAGTAAACCATTATGCATAATGCCAGTGCCTCAAAACTGACATAAGTGGGAAACAGGTCTTGGCCCTCTCTGTGTGCTGTTCCTGTATAATCATGAATAATTTAATGATGCTGTCTCTCTTTTTCCCTTCACACCTTTCCATCACTTTTGTTTACCTGTCTACTCTGATTGTGTGTGTGTGCTTGCCTCTTTTCATACCTCGTGTATGTGTGCTACATATTGATGGTGTGTGTGTGTGTTTGTGTGTGTGTGGCCTATCCATGCCTGTAACAGGAATGACATGTCAAGCACGGAGTTCCTACCTGGACACAGAGGTGCTTTGGGGTTATCGCTTCACACCGGTTCTCTCCCTGGAGAACGGCTTCTACGAGGTAGACTACAACAATTTCCATGATGTCTACGAGACCAACACCCCCACTTGTAGTGCCAAGGAGCTAGCTGCTAAGCTTCGGGAGGGGCCATTGTTGCCTTCACTTTCGCTTCTCAGCCCTGAAACTAAAATGCGCACTTTTGACCGCCTGTCCAAACAGGATCCACTAAGCCAGGATGAGGACAAAGAAGAAAGAGATTCAGGGGGTGAGAGAGGAGAAACTAATGGCTCTGCTGCTGCTTTGGAGAAATCGCACCTTGCTGATGGTCTGTCTGACTAATTGGCCACATCAGCTAAAAACCCAGGAAAGTCTGGACAAAAGGACAGGACAATATAATGCTTCGTTTAGTCAGTGGCCAGCTTTTTCCATTGCAAAGCTTGGAGATACAACGCCCCTGTCTCCACTCATGCAATATTCATCAGTATATACTATATATTGGTTTTGTAGACACTAAGTACACATACACAGATGCACATGTACAGTATCTACTATATCTGCACATAAAGGTTGGTGGTTCAGATTGTCTTTTTATAATCATAATGTCCACCTACTGCTATAACAGCTCAAGTTGTATAATGTGAACTTGAGCTAAAACTGGTAGCCATAAGTACCAATGTCTTATTATGGATACTCCAATATTCTTACTTTAAACTGTATTGATTCAACTTCATTTAAGCAGAGTATCAGTCTCATAACTCAGCTAATGTGTCTGACAGCAGCTTCTGTGTGGTAATGGGACCTTATTATAATTTATTTTTTTTTTTTTATGTGGGAGATTTTTTTCTGTCATTATTATTCTTGGAAATCCCATTCTCCTAGGAAATGTTTAAGGCTTTTTGTTCTTTTAATCAAGAGAAGATGTAAGAAATTCTTCTATAAAAGGCAACATTTACCTGCAACCACAATCTAGTCCATTTTTGTTCACATCTCATGATAACAGTGTCATAAATGCTGTCATTCTTTTTGTTGGATCATCTCGTCTACACACTGGGAGCTTTAACTGAAAAGAAACAAGCTAGTACCTCAGTTTATAGTCATCTTCAGGGTTTTAAACTAACAATAAAAACTAGGTAAATGTTAGCCATTTTCTTGGTACACAAAGCACAATTTTCCAAAAGGCGATTCCACACTGACCTAACCAGTGTTTCTGTTAGACCTTTCTGTTATATATAACTATATATACATACTGATTAAATATAAAACATACATATATGTACGGTGGCAAGATAATGTAAGTTAACCTTTTGAAATTTCCTGATTTTCTGCATTAATTTCTCATAAAATGTGATCTGATCTTCATCTAAGTCAAGAGTATTGACAAATATAATGTGCCTAAAATAATAACAATAAAAAAATTTTAAATTTTTCATGTCTTTAACAGCTATAAAAACCTCATAGTGCTAGTGGGAAAAGTATGTGAACCCTTGAAATAAGGACCTCTAAATAGTTCTTTGGAGTCAGGTGTTAGCATACTTGGAGTTTTGTTAAGAAAATTACTTTGGGGGTGTGGACTAGAGCTACTTTGACTGATAAAAGCCATGCAAACTCTTTGAGTTTGCTCCACACAAGAAGAACACAGTTATGTGAGCCGTACCTCGCCTTATAGAGCTTTCAGAGGGTCTGCGATCAAGAATTGTTGATTTACATAAAGCTGGAAAGGGTTACAAAGTGATTTCAAAGACTTTAGAAATTCACCAGTCTACAGTCAGGCAAGCAATCTACAAATGGAGACACTATGGTACTGTGGCTACTCTACCAAGAAGTGGGTGTCCAGTCAAAATGACCCCAAGAGCACAACGAAGACTCATCAGTGAGGTAAAGAAACAACCCCAGGTGACAGCCAAAGATTTGAAGGCATTATTAGAACTGGATAACATCTGTGTTCATGAATCTACATTATGTAAAACACTGAACAAGCAGGGTGTCTATGGCAGGATTTTTTTTTTTGTTATTATTTTTAGGCACATTATATTTGTTAATACTCTCGACTTAGATGAAGATCAGATCACATTTTATGACAAATGAATACAGAAAACCATGAAATTCCAAAAGGTTCACATACTATATATTTGGTATAAAAGCTGTCTAATTTGTATAATACATCATCTGGCTAATTCAACACTTGCAATATTTGCCTTCTTTGTAACTTTACAGTCTGAACTTTAAGTTATTATTTGAAGTGCTTGTCCAAACACGTTTGGTTCCATCTTGAATCTTTTCCATAAACCACCCCTGGGTTTTTGGCCCTCGTGACTACTGTTTTGGAAGCTGCACCTGTCCCGTGAAGGCCAGATCATACTTTTTTTTTTTTTTTTTTTTATTTCTTTTTAACGGGCACACTTACGAACTTTGAATCAATCCCTATGCCCTCTGCTGCTGATTAAGTTCGATACACTAAGAAATACAGGGTATTTTCTAGGCATGCAAATTATGAGATTTCTACAATATATTAATATGTGAAGCATTCATATCCAAAAATCGCTTGTCAAAAATACATTTGGTTCCTGGTACTTTAAAATCTCCCACTCCCCAATTTATGTCACTGGTTTTGTTTGTTGTTTTTTAACAGATGCTTGTCCAATCTATGTAATTACTTTCACAGTGACATATACCATTTTATTATGTATTCCATTTGTTAAATAATGCATTTGTCATTACAGAGAGATCATCTTTCATTGCTGGAATATCATCTGTTTTCTGTGTGTTCTAATTGGAATAAAATAATATGGCCGGAAGAACAACATGCTCCTGTGAGATCGTCTGTGCATGCATGAGTAAGTGTGTGTGTGAATGTGAGTGTGTGAATGTGAGAATGTTTGGCTTTCTTGCACATACCTTTGTCAGAAAGGACTGGAAAGTACTTTCATTTAGCTTACAACATTACACTCTCTCTGAAGAAATCTCAGATTTAACCTAACAACTGTCTTACACACAGCAAAATACAATCGTGGAAAATGGCTGGCAGAGTGACCAAGTAGGCCATCACAGTTATTAACTAGTGACAGAAAAAACACACGGATGGCACAGAGATAATCACATTTACTTTATCTAGCATCTCACAGTACACGCGGTCATAAAATGAAACATGATGTTACATTTGGTGGCGAGTGTGTCATAGAAATTCACTGACTCGCACCGATGTTCTGTCACAGCTATTCCTGTCCAAGCTATTAAATTTGGAGGCTGACAGTCCCTGATTCAGGTCTGAATAATGTACGATGATGAATATACTGCATCCACTGAATGGTGCATTGAAATAGGTACCCAAGGCAAGTGCATAGGTGCACGGGTGTGTGTGTGTGACGGTGGGAGAGAGAGAAAAAGGGGGAAGAGACATAATCACTCAACACAACCTCAAGCCAGCAGCATTTGTGTACACACAATGACACAAACAAAAACACGCAGTAAGGAGATTATGAAAGGAAGACAACAAAGAAACTTATTCAGTCTGATGAATGGTATCACAGCAGCTGAGTAACTAGCTATTGTTCTTTTTATTCCCCTGACTAGTTAATACTTATTCCTTTTCCTTTAAATAATATATGCTTGTGACAAAGAAGGAAGCACATAGAGTAGGCCATTAACAACTGTATAGTCAGAGAAAAGAGAAAGAATCACAGCTACAAAAAAGGAAAAGCAAGTGATTTATGTTTTCCTTTGGTATGACACACTAAAAGGAGCTTTCTTTTTCCAAATTCTTGCTCCATTCGTCTCAGACACCCCTTATTTTGCTCTTGCACACAATCTGGCCGTGTCAAACAACCACACCGCAGGAGGAAGCATGCAGACTGAACACTGACACACACAGACACAACAAAGGAGGACATGGCTTGTTTACACTGAACAAATGCTTTTCAAATTTTCCATGGATTGCTTGGTGATTTTTTTTTTTTTTGGTTTCTTCCATCATCCACAGCAACATCCAAGGATGAAAAAGAAACCACCTAAATCCTATTGTCCCCTCCTCAGCAACAATAATTCCCTGCTGCAATTATATCTTATTAAGCACTTAAATCTCCACTTGTATAGTATTGTAACAGTTTCCCTGTCCTCATCCACTTACAGCTCCCACTGGTAAAAGAAGGCTTTATGTATGTCATTTATTTCTTTTCTCTTTTTGAAGCTTGCAGTTTAACTACCACTTGTAAGGTACTGGAGCATATGCTTTAGGCCGAAGTCCCCGTTTTACATTTATCTTCATGTGCAGCTCTTTGTCAAACTGACAAGATGTGGTGGGTTTCTTGGGAATCTTCCTCTGCACTGTTGGTCTGAACAAAAGATATAAGACTCTAGAATACAGCCATTAACATATTGGAAAACCTTATGTAATACAGCTTCACACAGATCAAGTCATGCAATCACAAAAGCTCTGGTGTATTTCAGCTTGGTGTTTGCTTGTGGTGATTTTTACTTATTTATTTTTTTAGATCAAATTAGTTCAAGTTTGAAATGATTCAAGTTTGAAAATTTGGGATCAAAATGTTTATAGACATGTGAAATTCGGCTCAAAAAATATTCATCCTGGAATTTAAATTATCAATTTAAAATTTACATTATGAGCACAATAAGTAATCTAATACTGCTGGGTGAATCTACTGTTTGATGAACTAAAGCTTCTGAGGGCCCTTCCCTCCTCTGACGTGTACCAGTGGTTTAGCTGACTTCTGCAGTGGAGCTTGTTTTCAAACCAGTAGACTAACGTGTTCATTATAAGGAGGTGAGCTAATCATGTTCTCTATATATACTATACTACATCATCATGACAATATTCACACTGATGTCAATACGGGTTCCCTTATGTTTCTCCTGTTGTCCAAAAAAAACTATTAAAACATGTCAGTGAACCACAACGTTGCACTGGGTGACATGATTATTCATTATGGAAAATATAAGCAGAGTAGTTTGCCTATAAACAGTTCCACAGACTAATAATGGCGATCACTTTCACAGTCTCTGGAGAGCTAACTCCTGTAAGGCAAAGGTCAATGTGCATGCTCAGCTTCTGTTTACATTGCTTCGCTAGCTCACTTCACAGTTTCTTAACTTTAGGTTAAGCTTCTGAGATAGATTTTCATCAGTATGAGGAGAAGGATTACAGGCTATGTCTGACATACAAAAAGAAACTGAATGTGGCAGATTCATAGATCCATACTTGTATGATCCCAAAGAGTAAATGCAACAAAAATATGCTGAGAGGGAGAGACTGAGTGCAACAGTGGACACTAATATTACCCCTTCAAGCGATAGCGAGCAACCCAAACAGAGCATGAGACTGGTGGTGCAGCTGCAGTCAGTCCTCACTCAAAACCAATCTTGAAGAATGTGGATGCTTCAGAGTATGGAACAATCTAGCGCCTATACTGCAGGAGCTGCACTATGGGTGACCAGGCTCAACTCTCATGCTTCACACACCACCACGAATTCTCAGCACATCTGCGATCCAGAGTGTTAGAGATTTTCTACAGGCTGGACTAATGGTTAAGTTTGTTCAAAGAGGAGCAGTGGCTGTTTACATTACAGAACATATTCCAGAGCATGTCTTAAAGGAAGTACTTACCACAGATTCCAAAAGTCATTGCCATTATTACTCTGTGGAGATAATTCGAAATAAATGCAGTGCCCATAATGAAATACATCACTCAGTGCAATGCCTCACCCATTTGTTTGTAATTGCTTTTGGGCATATGTCATATGTAAAAAACATCATACAGAATCATCAAACATTTCTTAGATTGTCTTGTCAAAGCCCAATTTCACAGACAGTGTGTCAAAGTGTGAAAGGAACCACTAGCACTGCCAGGCAAGTCTGTTGTTTGTGTGTAAAAGGAGCATAATAAAGGATCTCTTGCTGAGTTTTGAATGGAACAGACAGAGATGTAGAGAGAGAGAAACCTTTGCTTTTTCCCAGTCAGAACACAGAGGTCTGCCCTTTGATGTGTTTGGACGATGGCAGTCTTTGATGAGGATTTCTGGGGCTGCAGAGCGGCTGTGGCTTAAAAATGAGTTGGCTGAGGTTCACCTCCTGAGAGGCTCAGGCAAGGCTACACTGTGAAGACAAGAATATTCAAGGATGCACACTGCATAGCTTTGCTCTGTCAGGAGGTAACAAAATCCATCTACCAGCACCTCTAAAACTCACAGATTATGATGTTACGCCTTACTTGTTTAATTCAGACAGAAACCAAAGCATGAAAATGACGAGGCAGGCAGGCTCACTGTGGTCCCTTGTCAAGACTTTATG